CACGAATACAACAAAATATCCATAAAAAGAAAAAATAATTTCTTCATATGAAAGGCATCTTCCATATGAAGATATCAAAAATATATCAATACATATCATAAACAAAATTATACATATCTGATTTCATGATTAATACAGCTATTTCTAAATTTGTTGTTCCCGCGTGAAAAGAAAAGGAAGAACTTTTATAAGAATAAAAAGTTTCCAAAGATAATGCAAATTATATTATCAGCAGCAATAAATGTATTCATCAGGCGGATAAACAATATTAAATAATTTCATTCGAAAGTCCTCTAACTCTAAAAATTGCGTCATCTTCCGATATAAATAACAAAGTGACTTTTCTTTAATTCGATGATATTATAAATTTTAGAATATCTTAAAAAGGAAATAACATATAAAAATATTCCGAAATTTGCGTTTGTTTTGAAGCTTGTTAAAAAAGGACACAAGTATGACGATATTTGACCATTTATCGTTGCTCAGAAATAGTATGTTTTGCATCTAAATACAAAGCACGATAGTTTGACTCATTCGTAGAAATGATATAGAATCGAAGAAAATGTGGTGCGCTGGAATTCATACCACACGGGGCCACTAAACGTAATCTAAATGACCTGTCATGAAACACGAAAAGCATGGCGACGATGATTCTATAATATCCGTTGTCGAAACAGATGATCTTCATATATCGTAGAGATTGAAAAATACTTACTTCTTGGTCCTTGCCTTTGTTCTTAAAAACCATCATTCGGTTCTTGTTTAGCATTTCGGCCGCCATTTTTCCAATAACCAATCTTTGTAATCGCGTAGATTGATGAATGCCGGTTACACCAGAGCCGTGCGAACCGCAAAAATCTTGTATCCGTGGAAGCGTTAAATGATTTATTTCGACAACTGCATTCCGTCACACAATACCTTTATTATACGTCAGTATGCAATATCATGCATAACACTCCCTCTTGTTAGACCGCCACACGGTACTCTTGTCGCACGGTCACGTTTTTCAACACGAACGCAAACGTTCGACCGTTCCGAAAAGAACGATGGGAACTTGTGAAAGATGGCGTTTCAATTCAGATAAATTCGAAGAAACCTAGGATATATTTCGCCTTATCAACTCTTTTGAACATACTATTTTCAATGATATCAATGTATAGAATTAGAAGAATTAACCAATCCGACTATTCATAAAGAAAGCGCCAATTTTAGGTATACTGCTCGATCTTCTATTGGTTGTGAATTGACTTATATCTTCCATATATATTGAATCAACCAATCAAGTTCAATGTTTCTTATCTTTCTACTAATGATAAACCAGTATTACATATTCTTGTGTATGTAGTAGCGAAGATGTAAATCAACGTTTAAAATTTCCTAAGCATTGATTGGCTTCCATTGACGATAGCTCATAGGAGCTTATAAAATATAAAGAAATTTACATATAACCCACGCAAATTCGAAACTTGCCGACTCATGGATAACGCCATTGTTACGTGTTTCAAAAACAGTGGTGCACAAACTATCAGTCGTGAAATAAAATCATAATGATTGGCTGTCCGTCCTGATATTTTCATGTCTTATACGCATAACAATAATAAAGAATTAACAATAAATAAAAGTTGATAAGGCAAAATAAAATATCTAAGTAATCAATTGTTTCATACTTCCAATATCAAAACAAAATATTATTCCTAACCTTACATTATTAATACAATTACGAAAATTGAAGAGTATGCCACTGTTTGAAGATATACAACGTGATTATATGTACATATATTTAAGAAATAAATATTAAATATGTATATATTTTTATTAAAAAAATCATTAATAAAATAAATTTTTAAAATATGTATTTATATATTTATTTCTTTAAAATGATTCAAACTTTTTACTTTGAATCCTTCAAATTTTATAATTTATTTTTTAATTTCACTGTCAATCGTATACTTTCAATTATTTTCTCATCAAAAGTTATTTTTACGTTACACAAGATATATAAAAAAAAACGTATAAAAAAAAAATTAATAAAAATTGAAAAAATTAATTATTTACTATAGAAGAAATTATTTCGTATTATTATATCCACAGATACATATATCTACACGGAATCGCGAGTAACACACGTCGTTTACTTCCGTTTTAAAGGAATTGTCACTCAAACAGAAATTCTTTTCTTAACAGTTGTTCCTCATCATTTCGGGATAGGCCGTCGTGCGTAAAAACACAAACACCTCTCATCTTCCTACCGGTCGCTCTTTATTATTTTAGACGAACCCCTTACGACTCACCATCTGCATGCATACCCACGTCATTTCAACTTTTATACCCGATAAGCATTGAACGGCAAGAGAAGGATCCGCAACTTCGACGGGTGTAAGCCACCCTGAGTATGGCCTGCGTCCTTTGGCCAATTAAATATCAAATATCGTTCTTTTTGTCCAACAGAAAGGAAGGACTTCCGATAGCTTTTAAACATTATAAATATATTATAAATATAAATAAGAGGGTATTACAGAAAAAAAAATTATGAGAAAGAGAAACAAAATAATTGTATGTTCTCGATAATACGAACAATGAAAATATAGATCAACGTAATTCCAAGATTAAATATATCCTTGAAAAACTTATTAGAGTACAAGTCTGGCAAGAAACCTCCATCTTGGCAAATTCGATGGCATTGATGTCACCAATTCATGCTCGTTCTTATTTCGCATTCAAACAAGTACTTACGTACATTTAGGATGTTTAGTACGATAGTGTAGGATAATTTTACGAAATAAAGATACCAAGGAACGATTTCTTTTGTCAAACACGGAGTTGACTCACGAGCAAGAAAATACTTGGAAGAAGAACCGGCGCTATTCTTGCATCCAGGTGTGAGCCTGTAACGCCAGTGTAAATATACAACACTTACGCCATTCCGACGGAGCCTCTTCGAGAACTATTAACGTATCCCTCTCTTGTTCCTTTCCTCATCCACTTTCGTATGTTTCGACCTATTTCTCAGCTACTTGTCTGCGCTCTTTGGCCCTTTGAGGGGCTAATAAAAAAGGACTACGAGACATAGAGACATCGTTCTCGATTCGAGGGAACAAAAACGATGGTCTTTAAAGTCTATATGTTTATGATTTCAAATTTATAAAGAACATTCATCGTTTTTGACATTCTTAGAAAAGTAATAAATAAGAGAGAGAGAGAGAGAGAGAGAGAGAGAGAGAGAAAGAGAGAGATTAGTGATATTAATATATCGCGGATTATAATAATAGCAAATCATATTTACATTATTGAAATAATAATTATAACAATGATGAATTCACTGTTAATATAATATAACATATATTTATGTGACGTATTATATTAATATATCATATCATATTAATATGACATATTTTATTTATATTAATAAAGAGTACATATTTTGTATTAATCGTCTTAATGAAATTGAAGCCTGTACTAATTCGTATATACTCGTACAAGTTTTTTTTGCATCATTAAGTAGACACGCGTCTCGAATTAAGTAACGCATCTTTGCGACCGTAAACGGACTTGTTTATCGTGATCGGTAGCTGAAAAGTCGAGTTGTTCTCCAGAAGAGATTGAAGCGTGTCAAGGAGTCAACTCGTCCAGTGGAGTAATAACGTATCGAGATAGTCGTGAAAGAGATACGGAGTAATATTTAATTATCATTAGCAAAGATTATCTGCGTTTCGCGTGCATATTCGAAATGTTTTTGATCGTTTTTGAACAATGAATCATTTTGGAAAGCATTTTACTTCAGAAATAGAAAGGAACGAAAGCGGAATAATACAAAGAGGAGAAAAGATAAGAAACGGATCGTAAAAGAATTTCGAAGAAATACGGACTTCGGGATAATTTTAAGTTTGAAAATATCTATGATCTTAGCAGTTAACCTTTGTATTTAGAAATAAAAACAGATAACTAATTTCTTCCTAAACGAGTAGCCAAGAATCTAACATTCCAAGAAAGTTATCTTTATTATCTTCTTTTTTTATCTGGTATATCCAATAGGAACGATCAACATGAAATCCTGAAGGAATACGATCGTAATTATCGAATTATGCACGACTCAATGTATATACACATACACACACAAACATATATATATATATATATATATATATATATATATATACATATATATATGCACATACGATTTATTTATTAATAAGATTTCTTCGACGCGTTTCTACGCATTGATATGATATTAGAAAATGTTACGACCTAAAATTCTTCGCCAACATTAGAAACGAGCGGCGATAAGGAAAAAGCTCTTAGCTACTCTCTCATATCAATGTTAACTCACTGTACATATTTCTTCGTAAATAGTAAGTAATAATCATTCGAAAGTAAACATTTACATTGGCAAAAATTCTCTTCCGTTGTCAATCAATAATCAATCGGATATGTCATGCTTTTAGAACGACAGAGAGATAATCACGCTTTTCTCGTATGCTTAAGACGACACGCGTTCGAGAATCAATCTCAACAATGTCCAATGGGTAAGAAAAAAGATTTGAATATTACCGAGAAACGTTATCCGACATTTCTCGCCGCATTACGATAGCGTAGGACGTACCGGAGAGATGATGAATTGCGTTTGTCTCTCTTGTAAATCCTTTGAAAGTAGAAATACATACGTATGTGTATACGTGTTTGTCTGTAACACGAAGAAAATACACACGGGAAGAAAATCCGTGTGAGTCGAAGAGTTTTCGCATGTGTATGTCTATATATGTGCGCGCATACTAACAAGCAATGCGAGGGAGTTCTCGAAGTCGGTCTTTAGTCGGTCTTTAGTTTCGAGTAAGCATTCGTTCAAGAGAGGATTCACCGTCCCCTCGTACACGTTCACGCACCCTCATTCTTACTCTCAGTCTCACTCTCATTCCCTCTTACTCTCTCTTCTTCTCTACCCTTTTCTTCTTCTTCTTCTTCTTCTTCTTCTTCTTCTTCTTGTTTCTCTTCTTCCGGCTTAATCGTCTACCACCCAGCCGGCGATTCGTATGTTCTTTTATCCTTGTTCAAGAGCATCCTCGGACTTCCGTTCGCCAGTGAGATACATTTCACGTAGTGTTTACTCCAAGAATAATCAAGTATTATCTTGAAATCAATTTTTATCCTCCGAAAATCTAACTCAATCAAATAATAATAGTGGTTGGTTTTGTGTTGATCGGCTAAAATAAATAAAGCAGTGCGTCATTATAGTGAACTATGACAAATCTCGATCGGGCTCATGGATATAAAGAGAAACGATAGTTCTCTCAGAGACAACGAGAAAAGTGTTGGATAAATCGACAAACGACGGCGATGCCTTTCGCGAAAGCAATGACGACGTTAACGCGTCGATGGTAATTGTCGGCGGGGAAGTGCAAAGTGCAACGAACGAGAGCAGAAAAGTTTTTTTTTCTTTTTTTATATCTTCCTTTCTTTCTGTTTTTTTTTTCTTTTAATTCTCTTCGTGAAAGAAAGAAAGTCAATCTCTCTCGTTCATCTTCTTCCATCGCTTATGTTCGGTATGGATCGACGAAGAACTCCAAAAAGGAGAGGTCTCTCTCCTTCCACCAATTCTTCACAAACAGGTAAGATTAATACGTCAAAATTTATCTTAATTCATTCGTTCATTAATTCTTTCATTAATTAATTAAAACTCCAACGAATCTTTTCGAACGCGTCACGATATTTTGATCGAACGTTGGTGGTCCGCCTTATAAATGTGTTCCATTGATGAAAATGCGATCGTATCTCGAGTAGCTACTGAATACCCTTTTTATTGAAATATTGCGAGCCTCGATCATAACGATAATTAAATAAGGACGAGTTCTGCGTTTCTAACTCATATAAATTTTGTTTAAAATTTTTAAAATAAATAATTGATAAAATTATCTCTTAGAAAACAAGTGAGTTGAGTTAATTTTAACCCACTTAGAAACGAAAACGTATTTCTTGACGAGAGAAAGAGAGCGAGAGGAAAAAAGAAAAAGAAAAAAAAAGGAGATCAAAAGAATCCCTATTTTTATGTCTTTCGGAGTTATCTTCAATATCGATATATCCGACCTTACGATAAGACTGACCCGTGACGATAACCATATGCGTTGCATCAACGTACACGAATCTCAATGTTTAACAGGGAAAAACGTTACAACGTGACAACATTGACACCAAATATAATCGATTAATCGTCGCAACTATAAAATATAATCGTTAGAAAATAAAGGAAAAATCAATGCTTGTTTATTCAAACCATCTGTTATAATCGTATGCGCACATATACTCACACACTTACACACACATAATGGACTTTAATACGATTAGTGTAATGAGAGACATGAAGTATAACGAAGGATGGCTTATTGTTATGTTCGAAAAGATAAGTTTCGTGTTCCATCGTTAAATATTCAACGACGTCTTCATTGTGATCTTTCGTTGGTCGTCAAAAAAAGAAAAAAAGAAGAAGAAAAAAACAAAAAAAAAAGAAGAAGAAAAAAACAAAAAAAAAGAAGAAAAAGAAAAAAAAAATAATCTTTCGTCTGTAAATTTTGATTAGTTAAATCCTAAACAAAAATATTACATAGATAAAATATGCAAACACGCGATACAAGCATGGCTTACAATAAATGGTCCATTATGAGGATAACATCGAACTCTTCTTATTCTACTTTATTACTACGAAAGTTTTTGTCGAGTACACGGGCACAGTCTGGGTCTTCATTACTTCGGTTAATCGTCGGACATCTTCCGCCCTTTTGCCGGTCAGTTAGCTCGCGAATCTCGCACGCTTTCGGCAGAAAGAGAGAGAAACGCACACTGGGCAACGTATATAATGACTCTATTGTAGCTTCTTTCTCTTTCTCTCTCTGGCCTAAAGCTTGCTTTCGTAAATAAACTCTCGTACACGTGGTTGATTCGAATGCCCTTCAAAGTTGCTAAATCGTCTATACAATAACACGAACTGAACGTTTCTATTATTCGAATGAAATTTATTCTCCTGTCTTGTCGAAGAAGAGAACGTTAAACAAAACGTCATTAAAATCCGTGACAATCCGCTCGATATTCAATGTTTAGGTTAAAAATACATATATGTGTATATGTATGTGGAAAATATATACATAAAAGAACCTTGGATCGTTTTCATAAAAATCGTTGAAAGGAAGAATGCGTCAACGTTAACAACCGCTATCGCGGGTCACTCGATCGTCCAATGACAGTAGAATATTACGAGTACATAATGGCAAAGAGCATAGGTCATCAATGTAGGTAATAAAATAGTCTTAATGTTAAGGAGAAGCACCGTGCCATTTCTGCTCCTTCTCCTCCTCCTCCTCCTCCTCTTTTTCTTCTCGCCTGTTACCGGTACGATCTTGCTACTACGGAGGACACAACTTGATTGATTAGACAGTATACTTTATACTTCTAATTAAGTCGATATAATGTTTTGGTATCAGTAGCGTTCGCGCGACCTTCATACGTTAAGATTAGAAAGTGTGATAAGAGGTCTCGTCGAACTCGCATTCCACGATGAATTTTTAACATACATATATATATATATATATATGTTATATATGTTACATAGAGAACGTTTTATTTATTAGCTTAATATTTTTATCTGCAATCATTATTTTTTATTATATTATAAAAAATGATTATATTAGTAAATAAGACTGACGATATCAGATATCGATATCTTCCAACTTTACCTTCGTTATCAGTAAAAAATGTTTTGAGAGATCTTCGAGAGAAAAAAAAAACGTTCGAGATATAGAAGGTAGAAATAGAGTATAACCCTTTTGACCTTGGCGATCATTTTTTTCCTCCATTCCTAATTCCCTTGCTGGTCGAGATGGGCTTAACTCATTTTATCCTGAAAATGCCGTGGATCGTCTTTTCGGGAACGGTAACTGATCTTTCGGAAAAAGAGTCCGATGCCACGTACTACGGAGATGCTTTGTAAGGAAAGGAATACGGGACGATAATAGGTACTCATAGCGAGACTCGTTGTCGGGGAGCGCTGACCGCAGAGATAACGCTTTGACCCGTTACAAGCTCGAAGCACCAAATGAATGCCTTCACTGTATCTATCTTCTCAGGCCCAATCCAAATATGCAGCCCTTTTTCCTTCTCTCAATGCCCTTTACCGTTCCTTCGTCCATGTCTTTGCGAATTCACCGACTGCAACGGACAACTTCTTCGAGCTGAAGTCGCCCGTCTCATGAAAATTACTCTGCTAATCCTTTTACCTAAGTCTTTAGTTAAACTCTTCCATCATCGATGGGCTCTTCAATCTCAAGCGAACTTACTCACATTCGATTTTATTGAATTACTTTTCAAATATATAATTATATTTTATGCTATAATAATCCTTAACATGATGATCCCATTGAGATAGACGAACGCAGAAACTTGAATGTTCTCTCGTACTTTCTAAGAATGAAGTAACTGTTCTAGAACCATCAGTGGTAACATCATCGACGAGTCAGCAATTGGAAACGATAACTGAGTTCCCGGCAACCGATGGTGCTACCGTAATCAGTGGATGCAAAGATCAGCCTACCATCTGTGGAAAGGAGGCTGCTTGTCGTAGCTTCCGTGACAACACCTCGCAATGCGTTTGTCCTCATGATTCCTCCCCACCTACGTCAGACCTCAAATGTCCGAATCGTTTGACCGGTGAGATTAGTTTATTTCTTTTTTTTGTTTTAAAAATTAAAATTGTCCAAATATTTTTCTTCATTTTTATTTTCTTTTTTCTCTTAGTCCCTTTAACTCCACGACCCATACATAATATAATACCACCAAGTGGTAATGGCACGAACAGTACCACTGCTCTACCAGAAGCAGAACAGGTATTAATTCTTCGATCAATTCTCTTTAACATATCTTGATTTTTAATAAATATTTTTACTTCTTACCGCACGTATAATGGATAGTATTACAATGTTATTATGCAGGTTGAACGTTCGAGGCATAAAGTACCTGAAATAGTTGGAATTGCGATAGCCTTCATCGCAGTGCTAGTTATCCTCTTGAGTATAGTTTATTGTGTGAGAAGACGAAGTTATGGTGTAAAGTCGCAGAGGAATTCATTGGATGTAAGCAGGATGATATTGAATATTTTCAATATTGTTAAGACATCTTGCATCTTTTCATTTTCCTATTCTTTCTAGGCGTCTCCGATGAATCTAAAAAAGGGATTACTATTAGCAAACAAATACACGCCTAATCCTCAATACTTTAGTTGTACCTCGCCGGAGGTATTAATTTTACAACGTGAAAATCTAGTATTTCTACATGATATCGGCGAAGGTTGCTTTGGTAAAGTTTACAAAGGTACATTTATATATATATATATGTATATATATAAATATATATACTTTTGATATATTTGTTATGTTTGATGATAATGTAATGTTTGAAGATAAAACTAAATGTTAGGTACATTCTTTATAGGAGAATTACAAAATGGAGATTTAAAAGAGATCGTTGCGATAAAAGTTTTAAAAGATACTGTCTCTAGAGAAGCCGAAGAAGATTTTATGCGAGAGGTTGATATTATGTCAACCTTCGAACATAGAAATATTTTAACTTTGAAAGGTGTGGTCCTTCGTGATGCTGGAAACAGTCCATGGATGGTTTTCGAGTATATGCCATATGGTGATCTTGCTGAAGTTTTGAGATCTAATTCAAGACAGCTACATTCACCTAATCCTGGATTAGAACCATTGACGAAGGTTATTATTAAAAAATATCTTCTAATATGACTTCCGTTTATTTCTTCAATATTTTATTTTTATTTTTATTATGACAATCAACGACATTTTTATTCATCAGGATTCTTTACATTGGATATCCGTTCAAATAGCTGCTGGTATGACGTATCTATCAGCTCAAAGATTTGTTCATCGTGATTTAGCCTGTCGTAATTGTCTCGTTGGATCTGGACTCGTTGTTAAGATTGCAGACTTTGGAATGTCAAGGGATATCTATACCTGCGATTATTATAAAGTATGTATATTGTAATGACGATTGAATAAAATATATTATACCGATCTAAATATATCCGAATGCAAATTTAGATCGGTGGCTCGAGATTATTGCCAGTCCGATGGATGTCGCCAGAAAGTGTGATGTATGGTCGATTTACTTTAGAAAGTGACGTTTGGAGTTTCGGAGTTGTCCTTTGGGAAGTCTATTCCCTTGGAAAGCAACCTTATTACGGACATAATAACGACGAGGTAAGATAAAATGATCAGACTTATATCTACTTAAGTCAAAACCAAGAACGTGTTATCTCATTATAAAAATTTTCACGTAGGTGGTCAAGTTGATCCTACATGGAATTATGTTGATCCCTCCTGACGAATGCCCACCATTCATTTGTCAAATAATGCGTGAGTGTTGGAAGACAGAACCAAGAGATCGTATAAAATTTTCTGACATATTGGAGAAATTAGAGAAAGTCCAAGAAAAATTAAATCAACAGGGAACCTTACCAAGACCACCTCAAGGACCTGTTACTATTCGTACTCCAGATGTTCTAGATCCTGATGGTTACTTACTACCTGCACCAACAACGCCTCGTGAATATTTACAAACATTACCGGCCTTGTCCGATTAATGAAATCTTTATTGATATTTTTACACGAATGATCGTCGTTTTGTAGATTTGTGAATTTTTCTTCTTTTTTTTTTTTTTTTTTTTTTTTTAATGTGATTCGTATACTTATATATGATGATCGAGATTAAAACGATCCTACGTGCTGTGAGCAATGATCAATACGAATGAAATGCACGTTAATGATATCAGGGAATTTACGAAGGTTCGGACCATCGATCCTTCAATGTCCACGCAATAGTATTATTCCTATTTTTAGAATAAGTTCATAAAATGAACGTTGTTATACGTATATAATTAATGTATCATATTTCGAGATAATTTATTGAATACTTGACGCAAAGTCGACTGACTGCACGAGAGCACAGTAAATAATAATTTGCTCTAGTTTGTATACTTGATTTCTTTTGTAAAATAATAATATATGAATGTACGAATATATAATATCCGTTTTTTCATGTATTGTATCCGCTAATTCTTACAACTATAAGAAATTGTATAAAAAAAGTAAATAAATAAATAAGGAAGAAAAATAAATTTTTATTAACGATATTATAAGATTCATTTGATTTAGATAACTTCTTCAATCGTAGTCCATAAATTCGACGATTCGGCGTTCTGGAGTCTTGGAAAAATTATTGTTGCCGTGATACGATAGTGTTTTGTTTAAGAGGTAATCGCACATTCGAGAAAGCGTAGAACTATTCTCGGAATCGTTTTCGTTCGAAGAAAGAGCGTTCCAATCTCTCAGCGAGCTAAGCATGTACGACGATCGTATGATACTTTCGATGCGATTCCCTCAAAAACTTTGGAGGATCGTTAATGCTTGCAAGAGTGGTGCGATTCGATGGAACATCGATGGTTCAACCATTCTGTTGGATTACAAGAAATTTCAAGAGGAATATCTTGACGGAGAGAAGTCCATTTTCAAAACGAGGAATATCACGAGTTTCATCAGACAACTGAATCTCTATGGTTTTCGTAAAGTGACGTCGCATAATCGGGATCCTCTTTGCAACTCGCATAATCCAAACGTTCATGAGTTCTTGCACGATCATTTCCGTGCTGGTCGTGTCGATCTTCTCTCAAGAGTCTGTCGAAAAACCGTCGGAAGAAACAAATATTGTCAACGTCTTGGATCGCAGAGATGTACGACGATAAAACCGGAGAACTCTCCGGAAAAAGAAATCCGCTCTACATCGCATTTACGAATGTGTCAGGTAAGATATTCCTTTTCGTTACATGGGTTAGTCGGTGATCGTTCTAATGAATTAAGATCTTTCTTTTTTCCGACATAGCTTGCCTTGACCGAAGCTTTGGAACAAATAAGACGCGAGTGTCAACAAAAGTGTTCGAATACATCGACTAGAAGCGAATCTGTATCTTCGAAACAAGGTTCTATTTATATATAATTAATGTTATCGAACTTGATTCTTCGATGTTTTTCATATTACAAGAAATTTCAATTTCAGGATTGCCAGAGCTCGAACTTTTTTCCATTCCACAAAGTGATCATTCTCCGAAATACACGATAAAAAATGAAATACATTTTTGTTCAAAAAAAAGTTGCAGTCCGATTAACGATGACAATCCGAATCCTTGGTTCATTCCTAATACACATAATCTCGCTTTTTACGTCCCTTTAAATAATACTAAATAAGATCTAGTTAGTGCTTCTACTTTTTTTTACATAAGTTAACGAGTTCATTCAATGTTCTGAAAATGATATCTGTCATATATAGAGTATTATATAGATTATGCTATATATCTCTGTAAAAATATTAGCTTATAGCGATAAAATAAAAAACAATGTTTATTTGAAAGAAATATTTTAAACTTCAAAATATAAAAGAATTATAAATTATATTCGTATGCTGAATATAAATTATGTATTTTGACTAGTACTGGATTGTGATTGTTGACTTGTAGCTCGTTTATTTTGTTCCTGTTGATGCCTCTGTAAAAAGCTTTTGAAAGATTCAGCTTGTTTCTTTTCTTCAATGTCTTCTTCATAAGTATTTTCAATTCCATCTTCATCCTCGCTTGATTCATTACCAGCATGTTTTAGATATATATCTGAAATTTCTCTACCACTATTTATAGTTGTTACAAAAGGTACAGTCTCCCCTGCGGCACTTTGAGTAGCATTTTCTAGCTGTTCTTTTTCAACTTTTTTTCTTTCAATATCTCGCTGTTGCTTCAACTTCTGCCAACTTTGCTTGTACTCGCTTAAATAATATAAATATGTATTAGTTCCCTTTTTTGCTTTTAATCTTATTAAAATATATTAGTTTCCTTTTCTTGTTTTTTAAATTGAAATATAAATGTACCTTTCATATTCTTTAACTGCATCTTCCACAAGTTCAAAGAATTTAGTGATACCTGCCCCAGTAGCAGCAGAAACTCCACAATTACGTAAATGACAATAAAACTCGTCCAGAGTAAGAGACATGCTTCTTGTTAAATTACTGATATAACTAGTTTCTGAATCAAGAGCTTCCTGAAAAGCTTCAAAATCCTGCATCCAATCTACAGCATAACTATGATCAACGATGTCAATCTACAAAAATTGATTACAATGACAATTCAAATTGAATTTATAAATATGTATTACGTATAATTTCTTCTTACCTTATTCATAGCAACGATAAATGGTAATTTTGTTTTGTATAGTATGGAACATGCATACAACATATTTGACATAAATGTAACAGGATTAACACTGCGCACAGTATCTAATACATATACAACAACAGTTGGAAATTGAGACGCCAATGCTTCCGTTATAATCCTACCACTTGCCGACCAAGTAAATACTTCTATTTGTCCTGGAGTATCCAAAATTACATACTCGTGTTCTTGACCTGCCTTATCAATAAGATCTATGACTTGATCAAATTTTGTAGAAAATAGATTTAATGTCGTAACTATACCACCATTTGGACCTAAACTATATTGTTTCATCACTTCTTTATAATTAACAGTATCTCTTATATCTGAAATGTATCCATATCATAATTAATTAATTAATTTAAACAAAAGTACATTATATTTATATAATTAAACATTTATATAATTAAGAATTACCTATATTAGCAGGATAAGGAACTTCTTTACAAGCTGGATCTAAATTAATTACATATGGTTTTTTAATACTATACAAAGTAGAAACAATTCTTTGAACAAATGTTGTTTTGCCAGAACCAGCCATTCCAAGCACAATGATACAAGTTGGCTTTTTTCTTTGCACGTCTGCATCTTGTGCTTCAGTTGCTTCAAATTTCAAATTGTCTGTAGATTGCGACATTAAACTATCTACACATAAATATTTTTATAAAACAGATATTATATCAATAATTTAATCATGAATTTCGAATGAAACACGTATTTACAATAAAAGAATATCGTTTCTAACCTAAAAAAAATAGAAACTTTTCGCAATGTGTTTAACTTATAAATTTGTAATGACAATCGCTTATATCGAGCGTTTTGTGAACTATTAAAAATGCCACGTTTTATTTATACAAAATTATATATATATTTAATAATACAATTATCTCCTTGTGAAATTCAATGAGTTATTTAGAAAATGACGTATAGAATGAAGAAAGATACAATTCAAATAATACAAATATTGAGTTCTAGAGGGCGCGTAAAAGTAAACAAATTACTGTATATATTCTACCTCTGTTTTATCTAATGTGATATATGTAATCTTTAAAGTCCTAGGTAAATAATTTTTCGATAGTTTAAAATGAAAGCTATTCATCATTTATGTTTTAAAATTATTTACACGAACGATAAGTTCAGATATAATTCTTCTAACAACTTTTTTAAATGTTTGGAAAAACCTCATTTTTATGAATAAATTATTTTCAAAGAAACAATATATTTTAATGCAAAATATTTTTCTAAGAAAATAAAGCTTTTTCAAAAATTCGGAAAAGTCATCTCCACGTTTAAACCTTCATCTTTAAAATGAGGTTTTATCTATAAAAATCGGACAAGAATTATACATGGACTCATTGTTGGCGTAAACCATTATAAGACTAGGGGTGATGAATACTTTTATGCGAGCTCCATTATAAAACGCCCCCATCGAATATTTTTCATATCACAGAGTACCTAATCTGTGGTTCTATGTATTCACCAAAGTAACCAAACTAATGCATTACTCCATGCATAACGCGATAAAAGATCAGCTGATATAGACATTATTTGTCATTTCGTAGTAACAATAAAGAGCGAATAACGGCTTATTGAATTATATCAAAATGGATATTTTTTTAAATAAATTTACAGCAAATTTAACAGAGGTGTTGATATCTCAAATAACATGACAACAAACGTATTACTATATCGTATAAACGTTTATAGAGAATAGGTTATAAAAATAAATAATATCATTTAAACAATGGAAGAATACATGCATTTGTGGAGAGGTGTTGATAAATTATCATTCACATTTAGTGATAAACCAAATGGGATAATTAGCAAATTAATTGCCATTAAGGATTACATTTTTGTAGCAACCAATGCTAATTATTTATATTATGGAGAAGTATTATTGGAAGATGATAGATCTCCAACACTCAACCTTAAAAGATCAGAGTTTGATGCTGTTGATATAGCATCCAATACAAATTATTTATTCATTGTAAATTCTAAAGGTCATGTATTAAAAGTAAATCCACATGATATGAGCATCGTTGAAACAATAATACTTAAAGAAGAACCAAAATGTTGTAGTCATGGGTATGTATTAACTCTTGATAAAACATTGAATTATTAAATTTATCATTATTAAACAATCAAGATTTTTATAATTCATTATCTTTTATAGGTACAGACAAGAAAATGAAATAATTAAAATAAAATCAGTAGCAGTTAATGATTATTCAGCATTGTTTGTTACCGAAAATGGACAACTTTGGGCAAGTGGAAATCAACCAGAGATAGATATCAATAGTACAGAACCTAAAAGAGTAAAATTTTTTGAAGGAAGAACAATATCTCAGGTTACTTGTGGCTCTAATTTTAATGTTGCTACTTTAAGAAGACCAGCAAAGACTATGAGAGATGATACAGATAGTGAAAATGAGTTAGAAGAAGAAGTTTTTGTAAACTCATGTCCTCAATGTCTCAATAATATTATGTTAAGTCCTGCAAGTATAACATCATCAGATACTTGCCCAATGGGACTCCATGTTCAACAGTTCAGTGAAGACCGTTCTACTAATTCTATTAGCGCTTTATCTACTGCCAGTAAAGAACATGATATGCCTCTTCTTGAAGAATGTGATAGAAAAAATCATGATATTGTTACTGAAGAAGATAAAGAAACAGATTTGAATAATATTTCTGAATTAGATAAAGAGGAAAAAAAGAATGTAATTTTTATAAATACAGAAGCAGCACGACAGTTTTTAACAAGACAATTATCTTGGGTTTCATCTTATGGAAGCGTAAAAGAAGAATCTATTGAAAATATAGATAATCCAACCAAATTAATCAAGCAAAATGTTTCTAATATGGCTAATTTTGTATATGAAGGTGTCAAAAATGTTGGTGGTAAAGTTGTTACACTCTCAAGACATATGAGTGGAAGTTCAGATATTAATGAACTTAAAGATGACAACAATGAGCAATCAGAAGAACAAGCGGCAGAATTGCCAAAACCTGGTACAAATAATTTAGCACTTAGTTTACGCTGTGAAGAATTTCCCTGGTCATCGAGTACTGGATCATTAGAACATGAATTATCACAACAGGGATTAAATGAAAGAATTAATGTTCTATCTCGTACAGGTAGTAACATATTGTCCACTGAACTTTGGACATGGGGTGATGTGCAATATGGACAATTAGGGACAGGAGATAATATTAAACGAATAAGGCCAATATTGGTGGCAAAACTTAATAATACAGGACTTAGAAAAATTGCTTGTGGTGCATATCACGTAATTGCATTAACCTTAGATGGTAGAGTATTTGTATGGGGAAGAAATAATTTTAAACAAGTTACATTAAATTCGATAGCAGATCAAAGTGCACCTCAGTTGTTTAGTACAAAATTATATTCTAATGAAAGAGCAAAAGATATAGCAGCTGGTACTGCTCATAGCTTGATAATGATGCATCATGGTTTATATTTCATAGGGCAATCAAGGTATCAATTTTATTGATATCATAAAATTTATTTATACTTTGCATTATACTATGCAATATTTAATTTAAATTCATTATTGTTTTAGTAAAGATGCAGAAATGTTTCAATTAGATATACAATCCACTGAACAATTTAGCACAAAACAAATTTTTAGTTCTGGACAATACAGTTGTTGTTCCTTTATAAATGAACCTACAATAAATATAAATGAAGATTTAGTGAATAATCAAATATTTTTAGAGCAGATGATAACAGTTTATCAGAATTTAATTAAACCATTCCAAAAAAAAGTGGGTGCAACTCAAGAATCAAATGTATATGAAACTATGTGCCGTTGTTATACAGAACTATTGAATTTCAGTGTACTAAATGTTCTTAGTCTATGGGATTATTTCAAACATATTGGAGAAGCATATGAAGTTGTAATAATTGCTAATATAGAAGAATATTCCACAGTTTATAAATATTATTTAAATGTAATTTGTGATATTATTTCTTTTGGTGGCTTTATATACATTGCAAAAATAATTGAAGTACCCCAGATAGTATCAAATTTATTTATAGATAAAATGAAAGGAAATGGAACGAAAAAAGTTAACAATGAAATTGCGATAACCATGGCACTACAGCATCCATTGAAGAATTTAGATAAGTAAGTTTTTTTCTTATTTGTGTTCTTTGTTTTACATACAGTTATACATTATAAATATTTCAGGTACAAGAATATGATTCAAAGTTTAATGAAAAGTAATGGACCACGAATGGGGATTGAAAGACTGCATGATGCACTTGTAAAATGGGAACAATTATGTGATGAACAAGAGAAGCGGCAAAAAGAGGCTGAAACTACGAGATCTTTTTGGGAAAATTCAGGAAAAGTAGGGGAATTATTAAGATCACCTGAGAGAAGACTAATTAGAGAATCACGATCTCATCCTATAGCTTTATTAAATTCTGGAAGATTTTCAACGCATTGGTTTATTTTGTTAACTGATATATTTATCCATGTAAGTGGAACTTACCATACAGTGCATCCACTTAAAACTCTGTGGGTTGAACCATTATCAGATACTGAATCTCTACAGGTATAAAATAATCTCTTATAATAATAAAATCTCATATTTATAAGGACTCCATTATAACTTTATATTTATTTTAGAATGCTATATCAATCGTAACACCAGAAGATAGTTTTGTACTATACACTCCAACACCCTCTGAGCGTAATGAATGGCTACATGCTTTACAAAACGCAATAAAATGCAGTGTGCAGAGAGCAATTGGAATTGCTCTCCCAATAGTACGTTCAACCTCATTCTCTTTCACAAAGCACAGTGTTTTCAAGGATGCGAAGTATACTGGTATGATAAGATATGCACTTAAATAATTTTAAAAGTGTTATTTCTAAAACGGATGTGTGATTTTCTTAAGATGCAATATGTAATATATCATATGTTGAATACTATTTTAATAAATATTTTTACATAAAAATTATTATATCATAGGTCGTTGGTTAAATGGTAAACCACATGGATCTGGGAAATTAGAATGGTCTGATGGTCGAATATATACTGGTCAGTTCCATAAAGGTATTATTTATGGTACTGGTAAAATGGAAATTCCAATTCAAGGTACATATGAAGGGCAATGGAAAGATAATCAACAAAATGGTTTTGGAACAATGAAGTAAATACATATATTGTATTATCTGAAAATTCTGTTAAAATAATAGATTTTACTAAAATACTAAATATTTTAATATTTTAGATACGTAAACGGAGATATTTACGAAGGCTACTTTAAAGATGGATTACCACATGGACATGGTGTTAAAAAAGAAGGTCACTTTATGGCTTCTGTAGCATCTGTTTATATAGGAGAATGGGCTGCAGGTGTTAAACAGGGATATGGAATTATGGATGATATCATGACTGGTATTTTCTTATTCTATAAATTTAATATAAATTTTCAGCCATATAATATATCATTAACATAATTCTATATATTTTTATATTATAGGAGAAAAATATTTAGGATCATGGAACAATGACATGAAACATGGATCTGGTTTGATAGTTACACTGGATGGTATTTATTATGAAGGTGCCTTTAGTCAAGATGTCTTAACGGTTTGTAATTTATTTCATATTCATTATTAATGTCTCTAATATAAAAGACGTCTTAAAGAAAAAATCCGTTTACAAATATATTAACATTAAGGGCTATGGAGTTATGGTGTTTGAAGATGGTACTCATTATGAAGGAGAATTTAAATCTGCAGGAATATTTTGTGGAAGAGGTGTTCTAACATTTCGCACTGGTGACAGATTAGAAGGTAACATAAATGGTGCTTGGAATGAAGGTGTGAAAGTTGTAGCAACATTACATATAAATAAAGCTAGTGGAAATGTCTCAACTAACTCTAAACCAACGTAAGTAGTTTGTGTAATAACCTGCAAAAGCTTTTCTATTTAGATAACATAGTAAATGTATCTTATGAATGTTTAGGCATGTATAAAATGATATATATAAGAATGATATAATAATAAATATTACTTAAACAATATAATTTTCTCTAAGATAGTTAACTAAAATGATATGTATTTGATATTTTTAACAGATCTTTTGGTAAATTATGTGTAGCACCAGATCAGAAATGGAAAGCTATATTTAAACAATGCTATCAACAGCTTGGTGTATCTGAATCGACTGCTAAGGCCAGCTTCAATGAAAAGTTTGCAGAAACACAGAAAGCTTGGCAAAATGTAGCAGCTATAATTACAAAATCTCATCAGAAAACACTGCAACGAAAAAAAATGTCTGGGAATACATCAACAAACAAAGAAAAAAATAATGAAAGTATTGATCAATTAGATAAAATACCTTGTTTTGGTAAAGATAAACTTACAATCCAAAGTTATAAAGAAGTACATAAGTATTTAATACAAGCTTTTGAAAGTCCGCATCATCCATTGGGTGCTCTACTGACAGAAATTGCAACAGTATATACAGCAACATATGGTGGTGTAAGAGTACATCCTCTTTTATTAAGTCATGCTGTTTCTGAACTTCACAGTATTACATCCAGAATATATGACATAGTAACATTATTATTTCCTGCATTATTAAGAGGTGGTAAGGAATATGTTCTAGGACCCGAGGATGATGATAAAAACGAGGGGTATGTTATATACAGACTCGATTACAATTAATATTTTTATCTAAATTTTACTAATATTATGATATTTTGTTAGGCAAGTAATAAGTGCGGCTGCAATATTACATCCAATATTACTACCACGTGTGCATTCAGCTCTTTTCGTGCTGTATGCTTTACATAATAAGAAAGAAGATGATGCCTACTGGGAAAGATTAATGAAATGGAACAAACAACCAGATATAACTTTAATGACCTTTTTAGATGTTGATCAGTAAGTTTGTCTTTTGCATCTGCACTTATATAATATATATTCATAATATATTTAGAACTATCATTTCTACATATAATTACATAATTATTATAATCAATTCTAGAAAATTTTGGAAAGAAGTAGCCACTAGTAATTTTGGAGAAAATTCATATCAAAAAGAATCACATTTTTGTGAAGCTATAGAAGCTTTACAACAATTAAAAACAACATTTTCTCCTTTAGAAAAATTGCTAGTCGTTAAAAATACCTTTGAACAAATGACACAAGTAAGAAATCTAGATATTTTATATCGCAAGTTTTAAAATTACATGCCATAATTATTAATATTCAATATACATTTAGGCAGTTCAGAAACATTTAGATTCTACATACTTATGGACAATGGATAAATTATTCCCAGTATTTAGTTTTGTTGTAGTACGTGCTAGTGTATTACAATTAGGAAGTGAAATACATTTTATTGAGGATTTTATGGAACCACACTTACAAAATGGAGAACTTGGAATTATGTTTACTACATTAAAAGTTAGTTCTTATTTTAAAAATATTTTTATGTTATAATACAATATATGACATATTTTATAATAATACAAATTTTCTTATTATAGGCATGTTATTATCAAATACTGCAGGAAAAAACGAATGCCGTTGATTAAAATATTTTTAATGGTAATAATAGCCATGATAAGGACAAATGCATGATATAGGATTAGTCATTTTAAATGAACAAATTTTATGTTGCTTAATATATAATAATATATCTATATATAAAATACTATCAGAATATAAGTCAGGCTAAATCTTACCTCATATCTTTATAAATTTTAAAAACTCATTAGTATAAAAAACATATTTGTTATATACAGTTTATGTAAATTAATTGTTACAAAGATTGCAATGTAAAAGTAATATATAGTATCATCATAAATCATCTTGTATTTATATCTAAATAATTTTAACATGTAACATAGATAATAATGTTACATACCAATTTATTTAATATTTATATTGTTGTATAGTTTATGTATATAAATGAGCTTAAAGGTACAAAAGCATTAGAATATAAAAAAATAATTCCGTGCATTAAATTTGTATGCATAGTTACCAAACAAATTCCAGAAATATTATGTTCGTTACATAATCGACATTTATTTATAAACATGCCTTTTCCAAAACTGTTATTTTCAAAAACTACAATAATTTGTAATTCATGCATTTTCTTCATATAATTTTAAATATGAAATGAAAAATTAAAATTATAAATATGAAGTGTGTGTGTGTGTGTGTGTGTGTGTGTGTGTGTGCGCGCGCGCGCTCATGTGTGTCAAATATCTCATCTGTTATTTTAATTATGAATGAAAGTAAAAGATTCACATCGTAAATAAAGCCTGTCGTAATATTCTATAAAGACCTTCATTTATATGTCGAAATAATTACTACACTACTATAGTACTATTACTCCCCTTACTACTATTCCTATAGTAGTACTACTAATAGTATATATATATATAAGTCAATTGTCTACATATGTTAGATATTTTTTAAGCAGTACAGATCAATTGTCTTTATCGACAGTCGGTAAATAGATTTATTCATTTCTATTGATGGCAAAATAGGACTCCTGTTTTATTACCGGTGGGTAAAACATTTTCCTGTTTTACTTTGAATACCTATTTATCGAAGACCTATGAAATAAAATTCTTTGTTAACGACGGCGGTAAATAGTTTTCTATTTTATTGACGGTCGGGATAGTAGTCCCTGTAGATTCTTGTTTTGACAGTAATATAATTCTTCGTCTTTTATTTTATTAGAAGGCTTCTTGATAGGTAATATTTCTTTTTTCAAGATCCTATTGTACATAAATTATTCTCTAATAAGTATCATATTTAACACGATTTTTTGTTCAAAGAAAATAAAACTCTCAAAAATTAAAAAAAAGATATCTGCTAGATTAAATCTTCGTCTTTAAAATGAGATTTTGTTCATTAAAATTGGTCAAGAATTATCCTGTTCTCATTGTTTTGCCTAAACCATTATAAAAGCACGGATAATCAACAGTCTTAAATATAAAGTTAAATGATTTGATAAGAGGTAACTTTTAAACCATAAATAATTATCAATTAACAATATATACACATATAGATTAATTGCACTTAAAAAATGTATAATTTAAGAGAAAATATATACATTTATTACTGAAATAAAAAATTGATAAATATTGATCGAATAAAAAAATTTAATTTGCATTTTGCAGAATATTCTTAACTTAATAGTCCAACAATCATTTTATATATATCTCAAATAAAATAATTAAAAACAATTATTTTACATTAAAAATCTTTACTGATTTTTACATAATGTCACATAATATATATTTCACAATTGATTTATGTATTTGCGACAAAATATTTATAACGCATTCTTTTATCCCGCCTTTTTATATCACTCACTATGCTACCTCAATTGTCACACAATCCACCATTTCATATATATAGATATATGTAAATATATGTGTGTGCGCATAAATTCGATACTAATTATATTGAAACAATAAAAGTTATCTAGTCATCAATCAGTGATATTAAACAAGAATTTATAATGAGATTCAATTTGATTCGTCAATTTTATAAAAAATGTAGTGTCATTGGTATTTACGATAGAAGGTTACATGTACAGTCATCGACAGTATTATATCGTAGTGACATTTTAGAGCATTCGATTAATTCGAATAAGATATTTTTTGCTGGTATTTTTCTCATTTACTTAAAAAACGATACTTTTATCGTGTTGTTCTATTAATTATACATATTATCGTATGATATGTTTTATAGCAAAACAAATACTCAATTTCTCAAATACATTTCATGTAAAAGGAGAAGCTGAAATTATGTCTGGAGAAGGACAAATTAAATCTTTTACTGTTGATTACAATGATATTCTGCAAGCACAAAAAGATGAGAATGTCTTGATTATTGATGTTAGAGAACCATCTGAAATTGATGAAACGGGAAAATTACCAGGAAGCATTCATATTCCAAGTAAATCATTTATTTATGAGTATTATTGTGAGGAAATTTGATTATTTGAATTATTTTAGTGGGAGATGTTTCAAGTACTTTAACAAATCTTTCTGAAGAAGATTTTGTAAAAAAATTCAACAGATCAAAGCCACATAATGACACAAAAATTATACTGAGCTGTAGATCTGGTAAAAGAAGTGGTATGGTCCAAGAAGAATTACAAAAGATGGGATACAAAAAGTATATATAAAATTTTTTAAAATTCATTATTTAAAAGAATATTATTCATATATTTTTGATTAAATAGTAATAACTAAGATATTTTTCTTTTCCAGTGTATACAATTATATGGGTGGTTGGCTTAATTGGGAAAGTAATCAGAATTAAAGTGATAGTATAATTGAGCATAATATTGTTATTAAAAATGACATGATTTTTAACTAATAATATATGATACATACAATAAAAAGGACTTTACAAATGAATAAAAAATTATTAATTTCCTAAAGTAATAATTGAATATATATATATATATATATATATATATATATATATAGTATATATATATACATAATATAGTACAAAGAATTTATATTGTACAGATAAATACACACTGTTAATGTATTATCAAATGTTTAAATAATACTATTTACAAAAATCATTATATAATACATGAATATTGTTTAGCATAAGTTGTATAATACAAGTTTAGCACAAGTGATAATAATGGTTTTATTTGCAATGTTTAAAAATAGTAAAAAATTACTTATTTTTCTGTTCTTGTGCAAGCTTTTGATTAACCATTTCTTTGAATTGTCGTAATATAAGGTTCTCTCTTTTCTGTCTTTCTTCTTTGCTAAACATTGCCAATGCTCTTTTTTCATCAGCAGAATAGATTTGATTTTCTTTACGAATACGGACTGCCTCCATACGTCGATGTCTGTAATAAAAAAGATACATTTTTTAAAATTAATTTTCTTTAAATAACTAAATATTTAATCAAAATAAAGTTTTGAATAAAAAAATTTGTGAACATTATATTACCTGCTACCACTCATGACATAGCCGACAGATTCATATGATGCAATCTCTTCGGAGGTAAGACCAATCTCACCTCTCCTAGGTATACGTTTACCTTCTGCGACATATGCTGCCATTGCAGCACCTTCTCCGGGTAATAAAGCTTTTCCAAAATCTTTTGCAGACAAAGCAACATGTTGTTGTTTTGGTTTCATTGGTCCAACTAAACCTTCATTTCCACTTTCATCAGAACTAGATCCTTTCTTAATTTCTGCTTTACTGTTTTCTATTGTCTTTTCTACCCATTCTAAACTTTCTTCAGAGTCACTAGCAGAACTGCTATCTGAGACTTTCCTTCTTTTCTTACGTTTGTGTTTCTTTTCTTTCTTAGCTTTTTTCTCCTTCTTTAACTTTTTGCTTTTCTAAGAAATCAAAGAATTACTTTTATTTATGAACGTGATAATAAATATAAGAAAAGAATCATTATTAAAATATTTATTACCTTCTGTTTGTCCTTTAATTTTCTTTTTTTATCTTTGGGGAGTACGTCATCTTTATATTTTTTAATCTCATCTTCTTCATCAGAGCTACAAACATACAAATTTTACAAATTTTAGTATCTATAAAGATAATTATTTATTTAAACATAATCGTAATCTTATTTTTTCAAATCATATTTTGTAAATATTAATGTACACAATTAAAACCATTTATAATATTACAAATTAAAACTTACTCTTCTATTCGTGTAGGTGATTTACCCCAAACTCTGTCAACACCACATAAACCGATTTGTTCTCGATCTCGTCTTCGAGCATCCATTATGGTAAATTATAAAATAATATTAGACAGCTTAAAATTATGTAATATTATTCAATAACAACTATTTAAAACAGATAAAAAGTGAAACGCTATAATATAACTTTATAAATTGCAATTGTTGACAACTCGACGTGATACTATTGAATTGATGAATATATAAGCGCGATCTCCACCAATCCCGTCATTGAATGGAACAAAGCCTACTTTCTACCAATCACACTACCGTTGTAATTATATTCGAAAGGAATGCCACCTGCCGAGTATTAAAAAAAATAATCCATAAATTTAATTCTTTTGACTGGATCGTAGATCTTATATGCATATAAATAATTGTTAAGTATAAAAATGATATTTTACATTTTCTATGTATATAATTTATATATTTTATATGTGAAATAAAAAATTTCTTATACGTATAGGTGTTTGCGATATTTTTAATCAATTATCGATTGAAACCTATTTGTATCTGACAATACATTATTTTGCATAGGGTAAGGTTACATCGGATTTAAAACTTTAAAGATGGCAGTACTGTGCCGCTCGTGTGCGATCACATCCAACGTGCCGCATCTCAGAAACGAACGAAGCAAATGAAAGGTTGATTATTACGTTGAGTAGACGATCGCTAATCATAGATTATAAAATTTTCTGGTAATTAAACGACAAACAGATATGAATTAACATTCTACGCGGACACTTATCCTACCGGACGTATTTTTTCGTTCCGTTTTAATCCACACTCACATTACTAGGTAAGTAAATTTACTGTCAACGCATGGTCCGCGAGGACACGTTTCGTAAAAGCTGGTTTGCTTTTTTATACAATTTTAATATTTCGTCAAAATGGAATTTTTAGTTTATATCGAAAAATAACAATAATTGAATGAAATCATACTCCTTCTATGTATTATACTTTTTATATAACTTCAATATGTAACAAGAAATAATATTGCATTTTCTTCAATGAGAATGAACGTTTATATGAATTTCATATTGTTCCTTTATCCAAATTTTGAAGGGTAATTTTGCACGATGTTATATCATAAAATCGATGTATTAATTACATTTGTTTATATACAGATTGATTAACATTTACATTAATTTAATAAAAGTAAAATAATTAATATCAAAAGTTATTATTGCTACATCATAGTTATTGTTATACAACTGTCTTAAAGAGACACATTTAATTTGTCTGATACACTGACAGTAATTATTTTCTTGAAGACTGGTAATAATATTTGATTAACTGATATGTTTTTATGATATTTTAAGTTGTAATTATTACTTTTATTATATATAGAATAGTTTTTTACCAAGAATAAAAAACAAAATAATGTTCGTGAATATTATATTATCAATATCAATATTATTTGTACTGCATATAGGAATGGAGTGTGGCACAGGAGATGTAGCCCAAATATCAGCAGAGCTTGCTCGGGTGGTTGAGGTGATGATGTCACCAAATATACCACAACAGCAACGGATAGAAGTTTATAATGCTTGTGAACGATTCAAAGAGTCTTCTCCACTTTGTGCACAATGTGGTTTATATTTGGCACAAAAATCACCAAACAGAAGTCCTGTTGTACGTCATTTTGGTTTACAGTTAATGGAACATTGTATAAAATATCGATGGACACAGATTTCACAATCAGAAAAAATTTTTATTAAAGAAAATGCAATGAAATTATTACAAGAAGGTACAGAACCTTTATTGCAAGAAGAAGCTCATATAAAAGATGCTTTATCTAGAGTTGTAGTTGAAATGATAAAACGTGAATGGCCACAACAATGGCCAACACTACTATCAGAGCTTAGTCAAGCTTGCACTAGAGGAGAAAGCCAAACAGAATTAGTTTTATTAGTATTCCTTAGATTAGTAGAAGATGTAGCACTGTTACAAACTTTGGAATCTAATCAAAGAAGAAAAGATATTTATCAAGCATTAAATACAAATATGGCAGAAATCTTTAGTTTCTTTTTGAGATTAATGGAACAGCATTTCTCTGAATTTCAAAAGAAAAATGCCATTGGACATACAACAGAAGCTGCAGCACATAGCAAAGTTGTTCAAGTAAGTATTAATATATTTTGCCTTCTATAAACTTGTTTTTTATCAATCTCATATGAATATCAATTTGAAACAGGTAGTTTTAAATACAATGACAGGATTTGTTGAATGGGTATCTATAAATCATGTAATGGCTGAAGATGGAAGATTATTGCAGATATTATGTCTACTCTTAGGCGATCCTATATTTCAGTGTTCTGCAGCTGAATGTCTTCTACAAATAGTAAATCGAAAAGGCAAAGCTGAAGACAGGAAACAACTTATGATTTTGTTCTCAGAAGAGGCATTAAGATTTATCTATGCTGCAGCAACTGCACCATCACCTATCGCTGGTGTTGGTGATTTTCATGATAATCATTATTTATTTCTAAAAAAATTAACATTAGTATTAACTGGAATGGCAACTCAGTTATGTTCACTTTGGGGCAAAGATGATGCTTCCAGCATTCGACCTACACATTTTAATCTCTTTCTGGATACTGTCTTGACATTCACAATGTACTCTAGCCTAACATTAACACATTTAGCAAATGCAATATGGGTCATGTTATTCAAGCATGAACAAATCAAAAGTGATTCTTTGCTTTTGACTTATGTTCCTAAATATGTGGAAAGTACTGCCCCAAAACTTATAAAAATAATATATCCTCAAGGTAGACATACCAATGGAACATCTACCTACTGCCTTTCAGATTATGATTCAGAAGAAGAATTCAATGTTTTCCTTCATCGGTTTAGAACTGATTTATTAGAAGGATTTAGAAATGCTACCATGGTAGCACCACTCGTAACTTTCACATACGTACAGCAATGGCTAACTGCAAAAATAACCAAAGGCATGGCAGATTTGCAGTATAAAAGTGATCAAAACGATCCTGAATATCTAGAATGGGAGGCTCTTGCCCAAGCCTTGGACTCTGTTGTATCTAGAATTTTGTTAATCAATGAAAGACCCAGTGTACAGAATGGATTACAACTGTTAGAATTGTGCCTTAGTTATTCTCCACAAGATCCTTGGTTGCTTTCAGCTTTATTATCATGCATTAGCGCATTATTTGTATTTTTGTCAATGTCCACTGGTTCTATGGCTATGCCAGGAGTGGCCATCTTGCCAAGAGTTCTAGAAAAAATATTTGCAGCTTTGGTATTTGAAGCTCCAGGTGAAACAAAAGTCACGCGATCTAGAGCAGCTAAAAATGTCAGACGTCATGCAGCTAGCCTCATGGTAAAAATTAGTTTGAAGTATCCATTACTTCTTCTACCAGTTTTTGAACAAATACACACTATGGTTCGTGGTCTGATTAGAGAACCAAGTCCTCTATCCAGGATGGAAAGCATCATGCTTTATGAAGCTTTACTTTTAATTTCAAATCATTTTTGTGATTATGAAAGGCAAACTAGATTTGTCGCAGAAGTTATTGGAGAAGGTGTTACAAGATTTATAAGATTTGGATCGGAATCATTTAAAGGACCTCTTGAATTAATAAGACTTATAGGATTAGATAGGTCTCCAGTGGAAAATGTAATGGATGATCCAGCCGGACAAAATCGAATTGATCTCATGATTTGCATTTGTACTGTGTTAAGTGTAGTTAAAAGATGTTCTATTCCTGAGGATCCAGATCGTGCTGCAAGAGGTGGTTTTGTTGCTGCTCTCAGTGAAAGTGGAAATCCAGTTTATAGAAATCCTGCTACACCACATGTCATTCCTGTCTTACCCAGTCTTTTTGCTTTGCTTAGAACAATGAATGCTTTGTTCACACCAAATGCCATATCAGCTTTGTCTGAGGTAACTGATTATATTTTTGTTAAAAATATAATTTATCAATATTTATTATGAAATTTCAATGTTTTAATTAACTTTTTATATTTATTTTTAATAGGGTTATAAAAATGCACATGGACTTGTAGAATCAGAAAAAGCAAATCTTCTAGGATTAAATATTACAAATGATAGCACTTCAGAACCAGATCAATCTTCTAGTACAGCCTTAATTCGAATGCAATCATTTCTCAGTACAATTCATGACCATTGTTATCATATGTTGGGAAGTGGTTGCCATACAATTGGCAGAGATTTTTACCAGTTATCAGGTCTTGCACCAGCATTAGTAAATTCGGTTTTTTCTAATATGGAAGTAAGTTAGTTAAATAATAGCATAGGAATTTTATTGTCTTACACAATTTAAAAAATATGTTGTTCATAATTATTTTTCGTTAGCTGATTCCAGATTACCGATTACGACCAATAATTCGCGTGTTTTTGAAACCATTCATATATTCGTGTCCTCCAGCTTTCTATGAGACTGTACTTGTACCTGTATTAGCCCATGTATCTACGCACAGTAAGGAAACATTTAAATAACATTATTCCAATAGTATTAACATAATAGAAATTATTTTACTTTTAGTGTGCCAAAGATTGAGTGCCAAATGGCAATACATCGCACATTTATATGAATCTGGAAATTTAGACGAAGAGAACACTGATACGCAAGAAGTTATAGATGACATGTTGAATAGGAATTTGACAAGAGATTTTATAGATGTTTTGAAAGTAGCCTTAGTCGGTGGAGCAGCTAGTGATGCTGCACCTCCAGATATTATGGATCAAGATAGCGGGGGTATGGCGGTGGATCCACCAGTTTCGCGTGGTAATAGTATAGTCGCAGAAGTTGTCAGCGAACTTGGCGCTTTTGTCTTGAGACATCCATCCACGTGTCATAGCGTCGTTTTATGTGTTTTAGGGTAATTTTATTACTTTATTTCATATTTTTTTCTAATAATTTTTTATAAACTATTTACAATTATTTTTACAATTGTTTTTATTTGTTTAATGTAGGGCTTTATCATGGAACGATTCTAATGCCAGTCTTAAAGCTACTATGTTAACAAGTCCTATCGTTCGAGCACTTGCTGCTGATGGCAGTCTGACTCC